TCTGAAGTCATTCAGAAAAAGCAAGAGATGCACCTTATAGACTAATTCTGATTCAGTGAGTCTTCTCAGATACTTCGCTACTCTGCCTGACGCAGCTCAGGCCCCAAGAAGTTCTGTAAAACTAATGACTCCGATGTTATTCAAGTAAGAAATGCAAAAGCTGCTTTTCTCTTGCTAAATGGGCAGAATGAGTTGCTGCCACTCTTTGGTGTCTGTGGCTGGCCCTTGCAGTGAGCTCAGTCTGTATAGAGAATAGCCTAATTTCTGACATACCTTACTGCCAAACAGTTTTTTCTGTTAAGCTACTGCAGATGTATTTCCTGATTGTGCAAGGCCCTCCTAGACTTTATTCAGACAAAACTGGCACTGATATCACTGAGCAGGGGCTGAGGGTGGAAAACAAGGCAGCTCCAGTGCACTTTCTAAATGAAATTCACTCTCTGATGGGTGAGGTTCATTTAGAAAGGCTCCTGCTCCCCTTTAAAATTGTCTGCACTGAAGTAGCAATCCTATCCCAAGCATTAACAATGATGATCCAGACCTAGATCTTGTATAGTGTTTCCCATGAATGGGTCTCAAAACGCTTTACAGAAAGGAGGTTGATAGCATTGCCCCTTGGACAAACATGATGTCATAGGGGACCAAAGGACATTCAGTGAGCTATGACACAGCCAAACCCGAATCCTGATCTCCTGAGTTCCAGTCCAGAGTTGTGCCATTAGGAGACTCTTTCCCCCATGACCGTCAGTGAAGGGCTCACATTACATACATTTTAGCTGGCCACAAAGCTGGGGAATTCCACCGGTGGCACTGGACAGCCTCCCTCTTTGCACTGGCACTTGCTGGCTTGCGGTTTGATCCTTTGTTCTGCGTTTGAATCCTCCTCAGCTTTGCACTATCTAATGCTGAACCCACCTTTTTCCCTTGCAGGACAGCCAAAGGCCTCTCCTACCGTCCACCTCTTCCCTCCCTCCTCGGAACAGGTCAGCAGCAAGAGCAAGGCCACGCTGGTGTGTCTGATGGACAGCTTTTACCCCAGCTCAGTCCAGGTCACCTGGAAAGCTGATGGCACAACCATGTCCAGTGGAGTGGAGACCACCAAACCATCCAAACAGAGCGACAACAAGTACATGGCCAGCAGCTACCTGTCGCTGAGCGCCTCCGACTGGAAGAGCCACGAGACCTACACCTGTCAGGTGACGCACGACGGGAAGAGCATCGAGAAGACCCTGAAGAGATCGGAGTGCTCTTAACCCGCAGCCCCGGAGGGCTCGGCTGGCTCCTGTCCCAGTCAGTAGAGAGCTGGGATCCCTGAGGAGTTGGGATCCTTCTGTAGTATCTCCCTAATGTTGATTTCCAGCAACTGTATTTCTTATTTCATGTGGAGATCTTAGCCAATCCCTGTCATTGTTCCCATATATCCATCCCCTATCCTCACCTCTCTGCATTCCCTGCACATGCCATTCCTGTTTTAGTCTCTCATGCAGCCTTGATATATTAATAAATCAGAAACATTCAACTCTCACTGTGTCTGTATACATTTCCCCACCACTTCCCATGCTTATATAAACTATTTTTTCATGTCCTTCCAATTAATGATGGACATTATTAGCCATTGGGTTTTCTTGTCTTTGCCTTTTGCCAAATACTGGAATTATTTCTCCCAGTGTCACTAAATCTTACAAGTTGGCTGAGAACATTTTAGGAGCCTGTTGGCAGCATGCCTTTGTTTTTAACAGGTAAGAGGTGGATCCTCACTATGGGGGAACTGGACATAGCTGTATCAACCTGCTGAAGCTCTTACCTGTGTGTTTTGCCTAACTGAGAAACACACCCAAGTGCAGCACTTGGGAGAAGGAATGGGAGGTTACACAGTTCCTAATGACCGCGGAGACTGGAACTGCCTTCTCGGAAATACTTGGTCTGAGCTACTTGCTTGCTGGCACACAGACTAGGGGCCATACTGAGGTCACAGTTACCCTGCATTTACAGGGGTGAAGCAGCCCTTCTTTCATGTGTTGTCTTAGTGCTCTGGCCAGTTCTTTGCACAAGAGAGACTATGTTCCCTTCCAGTGCAGCCTGACCTCCCCGTCCATGGAGCCATATGAACACAAACAGCCCCCTTACACCTATCACCCACCTATTTCATTGAGAACTGCTTCTTGCTGGCATCCAGTGATACCCACCAGCATCAAGCTACAATAAAGACCCAGAAATGAGCCCTTATCTAAATCCAGGCAGCCATGCACTCTCCTTGGCATGTAGATGGTTGCCTGTTATCTTCCCAATAACAACTAACTCTTCATTTATTACGTACAAGGAATTTGTAGCAGAGCACCTCAACCTGTGATCTGTGGGCCAACTTGTCTCGGTCCACAAGCCTTCTCCCATAGCCAACTATCTCAGCAGGGCACCCTTCTTCTAAATAAAAGAAGAAATGAATTTAAACTTTTCTACATAGGCCTGGTGAATACATTCAAGGACACATTAAAGATAAGAATGGCATTTCCCAATAAGATTGTAGTCTCTGCAGTCTCCAAACATCAGGAATCCATCCATCCCCACAATATCCCAACCAGAATAAATCACTTCTCACCCCCAGTTCCTTCCACTGTATTACCTACATCCTATAGGGTCATCCGTGTGCCTAGACCCTGCCACCCACCAGAAGCCCCACTCAGGTCTACACCACCCCACACACAGATTCTGGGAGTCAGCTGATCCATTCAGATTGCAGGTTTAGGGTTCAGCCTACACAGGTCAGCTTGCAAGTTCAGGGCTCTAGTTTCTCTGCATCCAAATATTTCCCAGTGTTGCCATGCTCTGAGGCTTGCCCATAGGCCTCCCCATTCCATATAAAAAACCTTGTTTGCTCCTCCTCAGCTGGCATTTCACTCTGACTGCCCCATGATTGTACTGGTGAGCCCATTCTATTGCTTTGCACAACATGAATATATGGATGGTGAATCACGTCTATTATTTTTTATTCTTAATGTGGGATGGGACTTGCAAGGATCTTGAGAGCATTGGCTGCTTGGATTCCACTGATTTTTTTCAAAGGACTTTGGACATACCTAACCATTTTCAAAAACATTACCCTCCATGTTTTTATTCTTTGCTCCTAACGGCCATTGGCTTGGCCCTGATGTTACCATGGGATGACCAAATGACAGCCCCCATACTGCTCAGATGTCTCCTGAGCAGGTGGGTAAATTAAATTCAGTGCAGAGGCAGCATAAGTGCAAGGCAATGGATCCTGCCCAATACACTTTTAAAATGCTCTGGCCTTCTTTTACTGGGACAGGTGTGCACATTGTCCATAACTAATGCACACTGAGGAATGAGGCAAAGACCCTGTTGGGCAAAGGCTTTTTGCCTATCTTGGATCAAGTTAAACACTGAGGAGACTTACTGCTCTCTGAGTCAGTGTTACAAGAAGGGGTCAGTGACCAGGGAACCAGATGCAGCAGGCCTGGCATCGGCCACTGCCCCTGATGCCCAAAGCACGAGGTTTGTGATGGTTACACCTCTGCCCTGAGCAAATGGACAAGCTCCACTTGTCAGTGTGCAGTTGTGAGGCACCTGCTCAAGGTGGTGAGTGCTTGTAACCAGTGTAAAGCACTGCTCGGAAACAGGTAAAATTCACCCCGTCCATTAGACTTGCAGATTGTCTGTGTGCTGCACACATGCCATCAGTTATGCCCAGTGAGACTGAAAGGCTGCATGAGCACGAGGTAAATTTCTCCCTGCTGTTTCATATTCTTCTCTCAGTTGGGAACTGGCAAAGACCTCTGCCCCTGCAAATGGAAAAGTGTCATCCTAGAGCCCCAAAGTCAGGTAATAAAAGCCTACGTGATGCCTGTGAAAGAGCAGGGTATTTAGATCTGAGCCCTTGTACGCAGTTCAGCCTCCTACCCACTAGCCCAGTCCTGAGGATGACAAAGTCCCAAGTTCC